AAATTTCTTAGTACAATTTTTTGCTTTTTGAATAAAAAAACTGATTCTTTGCACTTTTCTGCATAAAAAAGCACTCTTGTGAGTTTTCGTTATAGTTAGCCGTTTTTGAGATATTTCGATTTTTAAGGTTCGATGCATTTAATTATTTATGCGAAAATAATATATTTTTTTACATTTTAGATTTGGGCATTACAAGTAATTAAGATGATCGTTTAGATTGTGTTTTTAAACACAGCAATAATTCCTAACTCCAAACAAACACAAAAAACAATATTGATTTGTTTAATTCTCCAATATTATTTTTAACAAATTAAATTAATTATTTACAACTGAAATGCTATTGGATAGTTAGTATTTCGAATCCACGCATTTTTCGACCCATGTTTATATAGACTTTATGCATTCATTTTAAAAGTTCTAATCGAATCTTAAAGTTATGCAACAATAAACTGAAACACCCTGTATATTAGAAATACGATTTGAAGAAAAAAAATGACAATATATGGATTTTTGCATCGAATAAACCAGATGGAAAAACAGGAAGCAAAAAGCTGTAAAAAATGGAAATTTAAATTACAAGGAATTGTTGAACAGATGAAAAGTCATTTCAGTTATTTAAATCAAGATTAAAATTGAAAAATCAATCCTGTCTAAAAGTCTACAGTATCTTGAAAGTTTCAGTATCAATTAATTTTTTCTTACCATCTCGGCCATGACACAACCCAAACTCCATATATCGATCCCAGTACAATACATCCTAGCTCCCAATAATAGCTCTGGCGCCCTATACCATACTGTTACCACTTCGTGGGTATAAGTACGGGTAGGTAGTGAAAAAGACCTTGACAGTCCAAAATCTGCAAGTTTAATGTGGCCTTCTTTATCGACTAGAAGGTTCTGAGGTTTCAAATCGCGATGGAGAATTCTGTGTGAATGCAGGTACGCTAGGGCCTCTATCAATTGCTTCATGTAGCTCTGAAAATATATGACAATAGCATTCAGCAGGTTGATCCTAGAGCTGCCTAAGATACTAGCTCATAGCTGATGAATGATCTGCTAAATAAACTAACAATAACTAAAAATGAACTCAACGTGCTGGATACCTCTGAGATGCGAATAAATACAACCAATGATTTAGATATCAGAAAATTTCCACAAAAATACACAGTGAGGGGCATTTTTCCACAACAGCATACTCAAAATATTTTATGCAAAAATGAGCATCAGTTTTGGATATTCATATAAACCTACCCTTATAAGTTCAGCTTCTAGTGGTGATCTAGTACCGTCCAAGTACCTCTTGAGATCAAGATCTAAGTATTCAAAAACTAAATACAATTTATCAGTGGTTTGCATCACATCTAGCAATTCCACTATCGACGAGTGTCTAAGTCCTTTAAGAAGGCTAATTTCACGAATTGCTGTGGGTGGTACACCTTCTGCCTCCCCATCATCTCTGTAGAACCTGTATAAAAAATTGACTGATATCTAAATACATAAAAAAAGTATTTTAGAACCATATAAATACAAGAATTGTGGTCTGATTCATCATCTATCAGAGCAGTATGTGAGGCCTATGCTTTTGCTTCAAGCCTGTGCTTTCCTCCTAGAGGCACATGCTCCCTAACTCATCAAATACATGACTTTTATGGAAACCTGAAGCCCCCAGCTATTTTTTTCTGCACTGCCTGTTGATATGTGGATGATAAAGAGGATATAAAATAGCATTATAAAAAAATGTTACTTACAGTTAGTAGCGATGATGCTGCATAAGATTCTAAGCTGAATCATGTGGTGCTACGATATAGTACAAAACGTAAACACACACAGATTCAGCTGGGCATCTTACAAATTAATCGGTTAGATGTTCGCATCAGCGTTGAAATGATCTGTGATAAAGCATGCAAATAAAATAATGTAAAATTAAAACTCGATTCCAATTTACGTAATATTGATGGTTCAGCCTGTTCAAGCAAAGTATTCCTGGAAAACGAGCGTGCAACATGCAAAATATTTTTCGACAGCGGACGCCAAATAGGCACAAACTGTGAAGCTTACTTTTCCAATTTAATCCTCTTGAGAGCCACATTCTTGCCAGTCAGCTTGTTCTTGGCTTTGTAGACCACGCCGTAAGTGCCTTCGCCAGCTTTTGCTAACTTTATAAAACGGTCTAGTTTGTCCATTTTCATTCAGATTTCCGTCAAAACCACCTCCAAGACACTCCGTTTATTTAGCGGGAAAAAAGTGGCTTTCTTGCAGGAGCCCATTTTTGTTTATGCTGATTCTGCGCATGTGTCGGCGAGAAAGGCGGTCAATATTTCCTTCGTTGCCAATCCTGCGAAATGAAATGTTACTAAGATTCTAACCTGAAATGTAGTAACATTTTTTGTGCTAACACTGGCAACCCCTATCTCATCGCTAATTATGACAAATATCCGTATCTACTAATTTCATCTCCAATGAGTTTTTGGCCCGAGTAAATTTAACATGGCCATGCAAGACAACTATTGAAATATACTCTACTAGTACTATCCGTAGCTAAATTTTTCTGGAAATCGTTACACACCGCAATTAATCCGAATTAAGATTGGAAAACTGCCGCTTTGACGTACTAAAGGCGCCGTCGGTATCTCGGGATAGACATACGATCTTGTCATTTTTGTCACCTAGATTGCGGCGTTGCCAGCTCATCGGACAATTTTGCAGCCTCTGCTATTTTGCTAGAATGTTGTTTCTACTTCCTTGTGTTACCCACCCGCCATATAGTACGGTCATTATATTATACGGTATAAATAATAATGGAATCTGTATAAATTATACATTTGGGCAATGCGCAATAACCTAAAACGCTCTAATACTTCGATATAGATGGAATGAATGATGAATGAATCTAGAAAATCGCACTGTTTCGATACTGTCATAGCAAAAGTTCACATAATGTGACGGCGCTAGGAAGACCTGAACACCCCCCCCTCCCGAGCCCCGCACGCAGGTGAATTCAGCGCGATGCAGCAGAGCGGTACTCGGGAACATATTCTTCGGAAGAAAAGGATTAAGTTTTGTAGCACATTTTTTAAATAAAGAAGTAAAGTGAAAAAGTGAATGAATATGTATTTAGGTGAATGATCTTGAAGTGCGTGTTTCTGGAAGAAGGCTCCTCAACATAGCAAATTAGGTAAGTAACTTTACATCTTTGGCATCGCTACCATCACTTACATACGTATATTTAACTACTTTTAACGTAACTTCAACAACTTGATTCAGTCATCTCTTCCAGACTTGCAAGAGGAGATCTTTTAAAATTTTCAAATTCGGCTCTGTCCTCATGCCTCCGGTTCTCGATTTTATAGCCGTTTTATGACAATCAGAAAAAAATGTAAACGAATACAATATCGTTGTCGTCTACTATATTTTTCTATGTTGGTAGTTCTATGAAAATGAAATTACAATATCAGGTGCAAAAACTTAGGATGTCAACCTTAACACACAAGTAGATGAGTATATGCAAGGCTCACCTACTTTGCTGCACATATATCCTGTTTTCCTCAGAAGCGTTGGAAGTAGACCTAATTTCCACGTTGGAGACACTGTGAGTGCTGTACCTCGCTGCGGCGATACCGTACGGCCGGGTAGTGAAGCTACGCCCCTTTCCAGCTCCCACTCCGCGCGTCTGCTACTGGTCCACGTAAACATCGAGTGGCTTCGGGAGCAGACGCGCTGCGGTACGGACAGGTCGTACAGTCACGCCCCTTTCTAGCTCCCACTCCGCGGGTCTGCTCCCGGTCAACGTAAACATCGAGTCGCTTCGTGATACTGCCAGATAAGAAAACGCACACGCGCGGAGTGGGAGAGGGGAAAGCGGCTGTACTACCCGGCCGTACTGTATCGCCGCAGCGAGGTGCATCACTCACTTCAGTCTCTCGGCAACCGTCGTCGCAGCGGAATGTCCACGCGTTCACAGCTACGTGTGAGCTCTATTCGGTTAAACTATTTTTTTTAGTAGTGGTATACACTACAGGGTTCTCGATTGTCTCTCAGTGGTGTTTTAGTGTTGTGCCGTGGGTGTTAAGTGTTTCCAACGTGGAAATTAGGTCTACTTCCAACTCTTCTGAGGCAAACGGGATATCTGTGTAGCAAACTAGGTGAGCCTTGCATACTCGTCTACTTGTGTGTTAGGGTTGACATCCTATGTGTTTTTTTAAATAAATTGCATACATTGAGAGATTAGTAATATACTAAGTTATAAACAAACGTGTTTTTTTCTCTATTTTTTCATTTTATTTAAGTAGGCGTTGCAAACAAATGCTTGATGTAAGATTGTGTGATTGATCAATTTTGAATCTATACAATTGGTAGTGTCAAGTTGAATCATTGACAATTGTCGAAAAAATGATCAAAATAAAAAATACAAAACTTTCAAATACGTGAATTCAGGAACTTCACTTCTTAGGAAACTCGGCCAAATCGAGCCATGCTAATCGACCGCAATCTGAAATATGTTGGCAACCCTGTTACATCAGTGTCTCCACCAAGAAAAATTAAATCACTAAAGTATATCAGAGGTGACTAATAAAAGTATAGGATAATTTGCAACGCGGATTGAGTCATATCGAAAAAATAGCGATGTAGGGAATAGGAGCAAACAAATTTTATAACGACCACAAAGGATCTGCAGAAGATTCAAAAATACATTTTTTAACTCTCACACAGCCGTCTTTTGGCTTTGTATTCACCATTTGTTTTTTAGATATTGGCGACATTGACAGCGGTGTTGCCGGATCTACCGATTTTTCGGTTTTCTATCGAAATACAGAAATTTTCATATTCCAGGATTCGAATAATTCACATATTTCCAACTTTTTTGCCGGAAAAGTGCTGAAACCAAAAATGAATTCTATGAAGTAGACTATTTAATTTTATTTCCCATAAGCGTACGTACATAAGCAGTGGGGCACACGAGGAAAGGTGACTATCTACCGATTCCATCTTTTTCGGTATGGCAACACTGATTCAGTAATTGACAGTGTAAATTTTGGCCTCCAATTTGAAAAATCTAGACTACCTTACAAACTCATTTTAATGAATTATTTAAAAATTTCGGTTTTTAACGCGTTTTTCATCAATCGTTGCGTACCAAATTCTAAAATAAAACATTTTCAATTCAATCGATAATCTGTACCCCACCAATCTCATCAGACGTAGCGCCCTCTATTTCCGTAACCGTTCCTTTCGCGTACTTTTGCGTTGTGTTGTGATTCGGATGGGTGGTGTTCGCGTTATTCTATCAAAACACTAAGAAAATAACCCGTTAATATAAGTTATTAATTCACCCAGTTGTTCAAAAACACCACTTTTATTCAGGGTGTCGTTTCACATAAGGTAAGAACTGTAGATTTGCTGTATTTACATTCGTATTTCTAAAATTTGTTCGGCTTCGGGAGCCGCCATGATGGCGTCGGTTCCGAATCAGAAAAAAGATTCGTTGATAACGCGTAAAGTTCGATAGATTCATCGGTTATTAACCGTGATTTTTGCTACTCGACCTAATATTTATCGATAGATGCTAACTGTATTTTTGAGAAATTGGCTTTCCATGATGTCTGGAATATTTTGCTAGTTCCGACATTTTTTTTTTGGTATTGTGCTTCGCTACGCTCATTTTTTGCGTTTTGATATTTGTTTTCATAAATAACAGCAGTTTAAATCGCTCATCGATTATTTTTCTAATAACGTTGCGGCAAACATCCATTTTTTTATACGATCAGAGTAATTAGTTGTGCACAGCGTTGCCGTTGTGAATAATTTTTACGTCTGGTTGAGGATTTTTGATAGCAGCTTGTTTCAGTGTTCTGGACCAAGGATTGTTTTATCCAATTTTTATTACTGCGACAAAACAAAAAAATGTCGCAACATTGTGGTGCGTGAAGAAAGATTGGAGTTTAGATTTTCTGATTTCGGCTTGATTCTGGTTTTATAGATGTTTTATTACAAGGTGAAACGTTTGAAATGTTGAAACACTTTGTGGGGTTTCAAGAAACGATTGTGATATTAATGATCTCAAATTCGCAATTTTTCTAGTTTTACCTGAAATGATCTTGTTTGGACTAAAAAATGTTACTTTTGGGCCATAGTGCACAGTGGTATGACATTGTTGACACTTAGATATTCGTGTTTAAACGCGTAACAGCGATCTTTTTATTCTTGAATTTCCTCCCATCTATGTGATTTTCAAGATATCATTACATCAAAAATATTACATTGAAAACGTTTGTATCTACCACATAATAGCGTTATTAGGGTGTGTTTATTTAACAGTTTACGTTAAAAATGATGTCTGCTAAGCTCCTCAAAATGCTGACTGCTGTCTTCAAAACATGAAGGCAACTATTAAAAAATGAATATCTACGAATTTCGGTGTCATCCGTTCCTTGATCGATTTTTCATACACCACAATCTTTCACCATTTTTTTAAACTCTTCTCGCAGTTATAAAAAGTCGATAAAACACTTCTTTTACCTGATAAATATTATTTTCGTTAGAAAAACATCTAAATTGTATCTTAAGGCCCTGATGTTTCCATTTTGTTAACAAAAAACATTTGATTCTTAATAGTTCGCAAATACGAGCTAGAAAATTTATCTCCATTTTCTTGGATAATGTTTGAAGTCAGTTTGGCAACATTGTAGCGTGCGTGTACAGCTCCGGCAAAATTTCTCGTACCCCACGCTACCATTTAACTGTTAAATAACTACGTTTTATCGACGTTTCTGGAAGTTTTCCAACGTTGTTTCTATCGATACGATGAAATGCGGTATGCGGCCAAGTAAACAGAGTAATCTCATGCTGAATAATTTGATATTGGTAATGGATGGATTTATATTTCAGTGATTTTTTTTCATTAACGTGACAATAAGCGATGACGCATCAACTATATATAGCTCAATTCTCCCTTTTCGCACTGTTTTTTGAAGAAATTCTTGGTATTCATTTTCCGTTATGAGAGTCCTTGAAAACTGGAAATACTGCAGATGACGCGATAACGTTCATGTACACTTGTACAGCCCGGCAAATGTTCTCGTACTCTACGCTAAAGCAAGGCTGTCACGATACGTTTGGTACATAGATTAACAAATTTGTTTAGAAAAAAATGTTACTGAATTTAGCTCGCAATTCTCAACAACTAGAATCATGTATAGAGTTCAACTTGTATGTTGACCTTGACCATTTAAAAGTGGGCTCTACTTTTTTTAATCAAACTGTCTTTAACCCTCACAACAAGCCTAATGAAATATTTTGCTTTCAAGACGAATCGATATCGAGGTTAAACGTTGAATTTTAAAATGATTTATGACTTAACAATAGCTGCTTTACACAAATAAATCCATGTGTGAGAAAAATTGAGGAATTTCTTAAAAGTCAAGAATACCAACATATACAGTAACTTCCTAGGTACCAACCTCAGGGACAAATAGCAAAATATAACTTGTGTATAATAAACCTGACTATTAAAAAGATGACAATATACTTAAATACTGTTTTTCTTGAAATAAAGCTAAAGTGTCAAAATGTAAGGATTATAATTTTAATATCAAATCACAAAACGCGTTAAACAACGAAGGTTGATATCTAGGAAAAAGAACCAAATGTAACTAGAATTTAAAAAAAAAAAAATGACGGAAAATGAGAACAAGCTCAAGGTTAAAAAATTATACGCGGGCCGTGTCTTGACTAGCTTTCTGCACTGCAAATCTCCTTCATACCTTGAAAACAAATTAATTTTCATATCTAATCTCCCTAATCTAGATATAAGAGATTACTTATCTCTGGCCATGCCTTCTCAACTCTTTTATAGAAGCTTTAGATATGTCAGTTTTCCATTTTCCTTTGGAAGATGGAAAATTACGAATACAAAAATTTACTGTAGCACTTGAAAAATATTTAGTTGATACAAACATGTAAAAACATGAGATACAAATAGGTAATAATAATAACTTTTATTGAAATTGCTTTGCGGATATGAAACGTCAACAGGAAAAGATCAGATTTACATAATTCGAAAAAATTGACGACGAAATTCAAATTTATTCTGACCTCGATACTCTGCGAGCCCTGCTTTGAATAACCTTGAGACAAGGTGAAGGTCAAGGCTAAATATGACATCCTCGGTTATTCATTTAAAATGCTTGTGCAACACTGCTTTGCAAACAGAAAAAAAACAGCAAAAGATCAATATATATATATATAAAACTTGAGACGTGGTCATTGTCGTCTAGACCAGTTAGGTGAAAAATTAAAGCTTCCGCCTTTTGTTGGGTACTTCGACAAAATTTAAGCAAAGAGGACTCTTTATACTTTTTTTAATTCTCTCTAGCTTTCAATGGACTTTGCCATCATCATCAGGAGAGTAGTATGTGAGGATGTTGCTAATTGTTGTTTACGTATAGGATGAGGGAAAACAATGTTTTTTAAATAATTTTTAATCTGTTTTTAACTTGTTCTTGTCATATTTTACATAATTTTGACCATTGTACAATCTATCCAGCTCTCACCATGTTACTGGACGTTTCCCTCATCCTATACGTAAACAACAATTAGCAACATCCTCACATACTACTCTCCTGATGATGATGGCAAAGTCCATTGAAAGCTAGAGAGAATTAAAAAAAGTATAAAGAGTCCTCTTTGCTTAAATTTTGTCGAAGTACCCAACAAAAGGCGGAAGCTTTAATTTTTCACCTATATATATATATATATATATATATATATATATATATATTGCACTATGTAAGAACATCATCTTTTCGAGTAAGATTGTCAAATTTTAAGCTCAGAAATATAGACTTCATATGACCTTTGAAGGTCAAGGTCAAAAATGGTTCATTTTTTTATGAAATCCTATTGTATCTCAGCCAATCAGTATATTTCTTCCAAAATCCTTTTTGGTGGGGAAAAGGAAAGGAAACTTCCAGTACAGCACTTGGTTTTTTTTTATTCCAGCTCCGACCATGGCGTCGGAACAATTTTCACTATGCTGGGACAACTTCCACAAGAACATGAGTTCAGGGATGAACTCACTGCTAGAGAGCGAAGACTTAGTCGATGTGACGTTAGCCGTGCAAGGAAAGTGCCTGAAAGCACACAAGATGGTGCTGAGTGTGTGTAGTCCCTATTTCAAAGAACTCTTTAAGTCCAATCCGTGTCAGCACCCGATAGTGTTTATGAAGGACGTTTCGTACGAAGCGCTTAGTGACCTTTTGCAATTCATGTACCAAGGAGAGGTGCAAGTTAGTCAGGAGAATTTAACCACGTTTATTAAGACTGCCGAGGCCCTTCAGATTAAGGGACTCACCGCCGACGGCAACGTGAGTATATTTTTTTTAGCTTGGAATGTTTCAAAAATGTATAAATATAGAGTATAGATTATGCAAATTTGTTGTAACGTATGTCCTAAAGGTTTTGGTACAGAATATCGTATTTTGTCCCTCATGAGGTCTTGGATGGATCTTAATAAATTGTTCTTCATCTTGGGCTTCCCAGCCTCCATGATAAACTTTTTTGACTATTTAAAGCCCCCTCACTCTTCCCACAAAAGGTTGGGATACACCCCTGTTAGAATTGGCGCACCAGACAAGGATTTTATCTGTAAATTTCGCTTTATGTTTCCATCTAACATTCCTCTACATTGTCCAAATAAAATCCGTCGTTTCCCTTCATTTCAGAATTACTCAAAGTGAAATACTCTTAGTCATCTAAAGTAATGAGTTTTCGATTTTTATACACTTTTTCTCATTTCTAATTTATACATCTTGAAGCAAAAACTTCAAAATAAATAAATGTCAACTGACAGTAAAGTAAGTAAACAAACTTTCATTTCCAAAGGCAACTTGATATTATTTTGTTTGTTGAACTTAGAGCTAATGAATTTTGTGCCAAAACTGTTAAGGCCACAACGTTTTCCTCAAATTCAACTTCATGGTCAAGTTTCCTAAATAATACATGATAATTTAGATACTTTAGATATTTTTTGTTTTGTACCAGCTTATGGTAGTGAAACATGATGATTCATACACTGAATTTCTTCGGAAATTGTGAAGATATGTATGGGACGTAATTCTGATTTCACTATATCGTCTAAATATGAGTTGACAAGTTTCTGAAACTGAAGCAAGTATTATGCGTTTTTCTTATTTTTCAGGGTTCTGCCGAGAATGAGACTTCCGAAACCCATGAAAAACCTCAACGGCATGTGGAAGAGTACAAACCCATGCCAAGGCCAAAGAAACAACCCGCACCCGCAGTAGCACCATCACCTTCAATCAAAAGGCAGAGGCTGTCGTCTGACAACCAGGTACTTGATAATTCATTATAATTTTGACTTTGACATTCTTATAATATTGCTACGTTAACTGAAAATTTTCAAATATTTTTGGTCCAGATTTTTGAATTTCATTTCTGTATTTACTTGAAACATAATGGTGCCAGGTATTTCAAAATCTGGAGCTACGTTAACTCAAAGTATGTCTATGATTCGAGGAATGAGGTTTTTTTAACATTCTTTTGTTGAGAATAATACAGGATCTGATTCAGAACGAAAAATGAAATTCTTGTTTTTATTTTCAGTCGACAGCGTCAATCGCGTCGACGCCGATAACGAAGCAGGAGCCTAGCGCGAGTGCTTCAGTCGGTTCGACGTCCCTGTCTCAACCCGAACAGGTTCACTTTAAAATGGAACCTTACGATCAAGGTAGCGGGATATTGGACGAGACGGGAGACGAGACGTTCGGCGACGACACCTTAGGTGAGTCATCAAAACTAATGTTTCATTTAAAATTCTGAGATTTTCCTTTGGACTGAAAGTGAAGAAATACAACAAAAATCGTGTTTTTAACATGTTCGCTGCCAGTAAAATGTTACCTATAGTCAGGAGCCAAGGGGGATTTTAATTTTTGTTTGGCTGAAAATGATACTAAAAGAGATATATTGCGATTATCGAATATTTTATTATCTGAATACAAATATTTTTTTGGTCGCCAAATGGCGACACTTTCACTACAGGTGGAATTTAGGACTGGGATGACGGTGTCGCCATTTGGCGACGAGACTATTTTTATTCAAATGAATCGCATATTGAATTATTCGATTTATAAACATAATTCATAGTAGGGAATGAAAAAAGTTTAAAAGTAGAACCGAAAAAAATCACCGTATAATAATAGATCACACGCGTCGCCTCACGGAGCAGTCTCGACATCAGTGTCGCCAATAGGCGACAGTGTTAACTGCCTTATATAATAAATACTCTGGAGGAAGGATGCCACTTCGTGAATTTAGACTTGTATCATAAAAACACTTGTGCCAGACTCTGGAGAACTGAAGCCTCAAATGAAGGATGCTCACATGATGGTAAAAAGGGAAGGTAGAGAAAAATCGAGGACTCAGAGAAGAAGATGTAAATCCTGCGCTGCCCAAGGTAAACGTACAGAAACATTATACGAGTGCCGAGACTGTCCAGATACTCCAGGGTACTGCTTGAATTGTTGCACTATCTACCATACGTAAAGTGAGGTAAGCTTCTGTTTTTTTCCTAATTACCGCTATATATTTTTTTATATAGGTCATCATTAGAAGATTCAACCGTTCTTGACCTGGGAGTTTTTGATTAAAGTTGATGAAATTATTATCTAGATTATATTCATTTTTGATTAGACGTTTAGCTAGTATCAAGTTAGATACTTTTTCGTATATTTGAAAATTCCCCTTTGAATGTATTTTCTTTTTGTTTTAGAGAATACTTTAGATATTCTGTTGTATGTATGTTTCACTATTATACTTTGAAGTTGAGTCATTAATTTTCAGATAATGATTGTAGAAGGAAGATAAACCAAAATATGTGTGTAAAAATTAAAAAAAAAATGAAAAAAAAATGTTACCTTGTTTTATAAAGTATCCTCCCGACAAATATTTCAGTGCGGACCTGTATTTGATCGTGAGGTCTTGGAGCACCGGCATGCCGTCACCTGATTCACGAGCCCGTTGTACTACATTAACAAAGGCACGAGGGGTTGGTTGCACTCGATTGGGAAACCGATCCGCATAAACATGTGCCATTTTTTATTTCGTTTGAGCCACGGAACAGACACCACTATTCACTCACGCGTTACCGACTGACACACTGACTGTATACAAATGAATAAAATAATTGTAAAAACATCGTTCCAAATTCTTTCGCTTTTTTGTTTCCGATGCGATGAACCGATAAGGCGGTTGTCGCCAAACACGAGCACATATTATTATTGAGACAGGGCGGTACTCAAACTTCCAAAGGGCTATAACTTTGTTACTTTAATTTTACCAGAAAAATGGTAAAGGAAAAAAACATTTCTTTTGATCAGATCTACTCACTGTTAAAATAAATGACTCAACTTCGAAGTCACCCTTATATTAAAGATTTTTTTCGGTGCTACTTTTAAACTTTTTTCATTCCCTACTATGAATTATGTTTATAAATTGTTTGAATAGTTCAATATGCTATTCATTTGAATAAAAATAATCTTGTCGCCAAATGGCGACACTGGCAACCCAGTCCTAAATTCTACCTGTAGTGCCAATGTCGCCATCTGAACAAAACATTTTTTTTATTCAGGTAAGAAAATATTCGATAATATATCTCTCTTTTAGTATCATTTAAAGCAATTTTCAGGCAAAAAAATTAACCCTAATTACATGTAACATTTTACTGGCAGCGAACGTGTTAAAAAGATACGGGGTGTTGAAGTTTAGAAATAAAAAACATTTTTTTTAATATCTTCAAAGCCCTCAACTGGAATGAAGTAAAATATGGTATGTGACTTTACACCTAAGTATCGTCCACATTCAAAAGTCTTTTAAAATTAACGTGTACCAGGGGATACAGGGGATTAGTGGCATTATTTTTCCAAATAAAAATAGTACGTCAAAAAAACAAAGCAGTCTAGACATAATCAAACTTGCTTCTAATTTCTTTCGAGTCTGGAAATTGAGGATAGGACGATCGGAGCTTGTAGTTCATGAAGGGGTGATTGAATCTTTTTTTTCTTTTCAGACGACACGGCTGTGGATGATACGGAGGACTATTCGATGATGGAAAGCGGCGTTGGTGAAAGCGAAGGCGGGGAACCGCAGGCTGGCACCAGCGGAACGGACGGCACGGGCGAAGGACAAGGTAGGTGGTTGATGGGATTCACACATCAACAGCGGTGGTTTGGTTCTTGAATTGACAATTTTCTGCGAGGAAAAAAAATAAGATGCATAATACTGGCTAAATTGACCCCCTCTAACTTTTTTTGACCTGAAAGAAAAAGTTGTATATAGAAGGTATAGGATCTAATATGAAGTTTTTATGTAATATTTTTTTGCATAAAAGTATTGTCGAAAAATGTATTTTTTTTAAATGGAACACCCTGTATATTTTCAGTGAAAATCATAATCCCTTTTTTCTGATTCGAAATATATATGGTTCGTTAAACTTACTTTTATCACTTTGGTCAAAAACTTGAAGTTTGTGTGTCATTTAATCATATGGTTCGAACTCGGATACACATGAGTAAATTACACAAGAAATTGAGATTTTTGGGAAAACTAACGAAAATAAAATATTTTGAATCAGAAAAATAGTTACTGTCATTTTCCCTGAAAATATACTGGGTATTCCGTTTAAAAAATACAACTCGATTCGATAACACTTTTCTGAGACATGAAAAAACTTCACGTATATATATTTTTACTTGAGACGTGCCCATTGTCGTCTAGACCAGTTAGGTGAAAAATAAAGCTTCTATTTGGGTACTTCGACAAAATTCAGGCGAAGAGGACTCTTTATACTTTATTAGTCTCTAGCTTTTAATGAACTTTGCCATCATCATCAGGAGCTGCAATAACATTAAGAAGAAGTAGCAACTATTGAGCAAAATGACTTTAAATTACGTATGTGAGATTGTTGCTAAATGTTATTAAAGGTTAAATGTTTCCCTCAACTTAACCTTTAATAACATTTAGCAACAATCTCGCATACTATTGTAATTTAAAGTCATTTTGCACAATATTTGCTACATTCTTAATGTTATTGCAGCTCCTGGTGATGATGGCAAAGTCCATCGAAAGCTAGAGACTAATAAAGTATAAAGAGTCCTCATTGCTTGAATTTTGTCGAAGTGCCCAACCAAAGGCGGAAGCTTTATAATTTTTTTATATATATATATAAATATAATATATATATATATATATATATATATATATATGTCACTTTTTTATCTGGAAAGTCATATAAAAAAGTTTGAGGGGGTTAATTTACATCTGGACACCCTGAGCATTATTCGTGTATGATTGATTTAAAAAGAACTAGTTGCTATCCATTGCATTTTTTTTTTCTAAAATGAGCCCTCAACCACTGTCATGACTATGCTATGGATAGTGCTTCTTGACATTTAAATTTCTTCCTAGATTCTAGCGTTTTACAAGTGCTAAAAAATTGCTGTGATATTGAGAATCGAAGAGTGCAGTGATATAAAAATTTACTGGTCTAAAAGAATCATAATTTGACATTTGTTGCTTTGAAGAACCAAGCCACCGCTCTGTTCTAAGGCGGACGACGGGACTAGACGTTTAGGCAAATGTCAGACATGTATCGTGAAATAAAAAACGTATGTCGGAGGATTCGGTAGAACTGCAATAATTTTAACGCGAATATTTAAAGGTGTTTCTGGAATCTGAAGAAATTGCGGTGAATTTGGCAACATTGCGAAAAAAATAATTGAGCATGTTCAGTATCCGATACGGTGCGTTTGCGTCTAACGTATTCATACTTTATTGTCCGTTTGATGCAAGCAACTGGAAAAACTGGTTACTGCGCATGGTTGTCGTTTTGAGCGCACTGTTGTCGAATATCACAAACCGCCTTTTATTGATCGGCGAGTCAACTGCGAATTATTTTAAAGTGTACGAAACGTATTTTTTGCGTTTCTGCATTTGTTGATACAATTTGCGGTAAAATTCTCCGTTAACGTTAAGGTTGGCAAATGAAGAGATAAACTAGTCACTGTCACATAAACCTTTGTCTTGGGTTATATTGCAGTCCTGTATTTTTGTCGAGTTGTAGATGTCTTCTGACACTAATTGTGATATCATGCGAGTACATCGAAAAAAAAAGCTGTTGGCATTAGAGGTGTGTCTTGAGTTGTGTGATATTTAAAAAAGCCCTCGGCATTTTTTCAAGAAATCGCGAGAAAGTCAGCGAGGTCAACTGGAGAGACAAATGTGATGTTGCATATTTTACAAAAAAGCTGTTGGCATTAAAACTGTGTTATTGGTTGTGTGATATTTAAAAGAGCCCTTGGCATTTTTTTAAAAAATCGCCAGAACGTCGATGATGTCAACTGGAGAGACAGATTGCGATGATTGCATATCGAACCAAAAAGCTGTTGGCATTAAAAGTTGTGTGATATTCAAAAAAGCTTTTGGCATTTTTTTAATGATGCATCAACGAATTGCTATTCTTTGAAGAAAACTGATGAGATACAGGTTAAAAAAGCCATTGGCATCACATATATCGATAAAAAAATAAGCGTCTCTTCATTTTGCTGATGGAAGGTGTGTAATAAAATTGCATTGTTCAAAATAGTTTCTTGGGAATTGCATATGGCAGATTGAATCAACAAGAAGAAACGGATCGAGCGCCATTTTATTTCTCTCGCAGCAACGTGGTTTTACATGTCTGACATACTCGTAAAAAGTGTAAACAAGGTATTAATTATTTGTTTCTGCATTGCAACGATGTGTCAGTTCCGCCGTTCGTCTAAAACAAACTTTTGTACACAAAAACCTCAAGTAAAAGATTATCGTGAGTTGAGTTTGTTTTTTTTTTGAACATATTCTGCAACAAATGCGACAGTTATTTCTTCGTTTTATTCTAGTCATTCTTTCGAATCAAGCATCGTAGTTTTTATTTCCAATTACAATTGTTTTTTGTTTTGGTTTTACTTGAGGTTTTTGTCTATGCAATTTGTAATTTGCTTCTACGATTTTACGACATGTTGTTTGTAGTTTTATTTTTCTAGTTTGTAAGTTTTTTGTTGTTGTGTTTTATATTTCCATTTTTGACATTTATATTTTTTTATTATAAATGTCTTTGTTTCATTCAGAGCACTTTTGCCGATTTGAAGAGATTTTCAAATCGGCATGCTGTATTTTCGAAAATTTCACAAATTGTGGCTGTTTGATTTTCGAAAGGGCCACTCGATTTTACTGGTGATGGAAGAATGCGTAAATTGGTATCGGTCTTACAGGAACATTTGTTTTTTGTGGATTGATAACAATTTATGCATAATTTTTACATAGTTCTAAAATTTTGGAACTGTGTTGTGTATTTGGCAATTATTTCATTAAATAATTGCCATCTTCTAAAATCATTTTCGAGTTCAGTTTGATTTTTATCAACATCATCAGAAATGATGTTGGCAGTTGAAACTTCAAAACAAGCATAGTGATTTTATTCAGTAATGGAAAGTGTGCAACACAGGGATGAATTGACAAAAAATAACCAATATTATGAGCCACATAATATTGTGATATTTCTTTGTAAATTCTTGTTTCTTGTCTGATGCTTCAGTATTTTGAAGTATCGTCGTGTATCTGTGAAAGATAGTGTTTTATCAGATGAGTGATTCCTGATTGAAAATATTTTGTTGTTACAAGCTATAATTTTTTTAAATTACTATGAAATCGGATATTTCAATATTTTTGGAATATCTGCTGCTGAAGTGCCTTTAATTAGAAATCGTTAAACCATTTATTATCTACAATCAACTGATGTGATGTTTTGCTCATGATTCTGAGCAAAAATCGTTATTATCAAAAGTAAAAAAAGAATATGTCATTAACAAACCGATTGAATATTAAGTGTGAAAGTATATCACAAGTTTGTGATATGCGTCGTTGGAAATAGTGATTTGAAAAACCATGTGTCTCAATATTTCTAGTGAAACATTATTTATTGCAACTCAATTTTCTCTAGTCATAATGTGATCCTAAATACTGTTTCGAGATTCAACAATTTTATTGCTTTCCATACAGAATTTCCATAGTTTCTTATAGCTACTTTCCTATGAGGAATTTCCATGGACTTTCTGTAAACGTAATCGCAGTCATAATTAATGTCAATACTTTTTGACAATAAGTATGCCTGCGATTATTATTCTTCATGATGACGACATAATTATATCAATCATCCAATAAACTGTCAACGTCTATATTGGATCCAGAAATTTTGTTTGCACGTATTAAAAGTGATGAATATCCTAAAAGCAAAGTGAAAAGAAATACGACCCATTGTGGTTAAAGCGCATCTTTGATCTGGTACAAAAAATTGTGCGTTATTTTGATTGAAAATTGATATCTAGTACCGAAAAACAGTAAAACGTGAAAAGACTCCTGGATTTTGATTGTGTAAAATTTTGCATAATTGACATCCACTATTTTGAATTTTTCAGGTTTTGTTATTTTTCTTTACCAGATGCAAATTTTTGGTCACCTTTGAAAGCCATCATTTGTCGGATTTTATATTGTGGGCTCGTAATTTCCTTGGACACTGATTCAGGACGGTGACGTAGAAAAACGTATTTCAGTTCGCGTTCGCTAGATGGTCGTCGATGGTGGCGATATAGTGCATAACGTATATCGACCATTTACATGGTGAATTTGATCACACTTTCGGGAAAGATATGTCGTACAATCGTGGCAGAAGACAAAAACCATGACTCGATTTTTCTTTTTCATCACGGCAGACGTTGAATGGTTCTTAGAAACCACCAAGGGTTTGTCGAGCAACGGCATTGTCGTTGGTGGTTTCACTTACCATCAGAACATCACCAAGGGATCATCTGGAACTAGGTAAGGGTGTGGATATTTTCAATAGCTCGGGTTTTGACAGTTTTCCAATTTTAAACGGAATAAATGTTTGATGGAAATTAGACGCTTAACCAAGCAATTTTCTGTTGAAAATTGGAAATTTTCAAGGTCAAACTCTAACAAAGCTAAACTCAATTTCAAAATATGAATCGATTCAAATAATTATATTTTAAAATTGAGTTTGACGGGGGTATGATCTTAAAATTAGGATTATTCTAAAGTTTATCGCGAAAATGACCCGATTTTTGTGTATGAGTATTCACCTTTCGTGAATTTTTCTAACGTTTCATACCTCCATGGTTATGAAGACATGCTAAGAACAAAGAGCATCGATTTCAAAACAACAGGTTTATATAAAGACGTTACGTAAATTGTAATATTGCTGGAAAAAATCTACAGGGAGTATAATGTCGACATGTTTTGACGGCAGGTAACCCTAAAGTAATGGCATGTCAATTAATATTGAAAAAAATTGCGTATGGAAAATGTCGGGTTCTTCAAATCAGGAATGGAAATACGTTGTAGTTTTGATGTCTGATGAGTACTTGAATGATTTGATTGATGTTTGAATTTGGTTGTATGGTTGATTATGCGAAATGTATGATTGTAGTTTTTGAAGGACAAACATTTTCCGTACATTCTTATGAATTATTTATGTTCCAATTTTATAATGGGCATTGTCACGTTGCATTTTTGGCGACATAATATTGATGTTCAATTCTGATTGTAAAATTGGAACCAGAAGCCATTACTGACTGTTAGTGATTTAATGCCGATCATTACGTGTTGAGATGATATTCATTATCTTTGTAAAATATTTTGCCTATTATGTTTCAAATTTCTGAAGGCGTATCATAATTGTTAAAAATGTAGAAAATCTTTACTTATCGCTTAGGTTTAAAATGAGCTCATTGCGAACTTTTTGGATGTAGTATAGGTATTATAATATAAAATGTCATGTAATCCAGTTATGATTACAAAACGTTCTATACGATCAGAGAAAATGTCGACTGCGCAGCGTAAAAAAAAATGAGATATTTGTTCTGGAGCATTTTGGAATTAGTGCTTTAAGAAAGTGAGGATGAAGAGAAAAGATCTTTTTGAATAAAGTATAATAAGGATGATCTGACGTTTTTGCGGGTATCGGTATAGATACTTGATCTGCGCCGAGTACAAAAGCTTGACGTGCAGAGCTAGAGCTCTCATACCTCCTGGAGGTACAGCCGATGATCTGGTGTTGAAGAAACAACACAACCATCCTCCGATGGAAGACGTCATGATCAAGAAGACGTTCGTGAATATGCTGAAGAAGCTGATTGCCGAAAAGACTGACATGCCCTTGAGGGATATCTACGATCTCGCCGTCCACTGGTACGTACTATTTAGCGTTCGACTTGGAGCAGTTTCAGATGGTTGCAGTGAGGAACGAATAAATTTCTATTTCGTTTGGTCGGATTTTTTGTAAAATTCATAGTTCGGAAGGTGTATCTTCCTTATTGTACCTAGTCTGACATTGCTCTTCTGGATCTCGGTCTTATAAAGAAAAACGATTAGCATTTTTTGGTAAAAGAGAACCAGGATTTGCTGTTGATAAAACAATTGATCATCTACTGTGATGAGAGGAATATCACATATAGACTTGTAGAAGGAAGTCTAAGTATGAGCCAAATATATTCCTTTCACTAGGAAGAAATGACAGATGACATCTTGAATGATTATAGTTTATAATTTTTTGACATTATGTTACACTTGGTATTGTGTTTTAAATATTGATTGCGAGGATGTCATATTGTTTTTCTATTTATATGTGACGATGCTGTCATTTTCTGTTGGTGAAACGATGCATATCGATACCACATAACTCAAAAGTAATTAGTAGAGTACCATTAGACGTAAAAAAAAAGAAACCCCCGGAATCCGATTCACCTGAAATGGTAGTTCTTTGCATTCGTTGCCCTCGGTAATATTTTGATACAATTATTGCAGACGACTCGTACAACACACTGCTAAGAGATATCGAGTGTTGTAACAAAAAAAGATACTGGATAAATAAAATGTTTTGATTGTTGCATAACGTAATCTTGATTCAGATTACAAAAAGTAGCCCAAAATAGTCACGTATTTGCTGCCTTAAATTCGATACTACAAGACGCAAAAATGCAACTTTCTTAGCAAGAATTATCGTCTAGTTGTATTTCGGTATGAAGAGCGGCACGAAAACTGAACTATCATTGGTCGGCTGTGGTCACTGACGAGTTTTGTGGTTTCGCTGAAGGTATCCAGAGGGCGCGTTGGTATGCCCTTACGTCAAGATGCATCCTTCGATGAGAAGATGGCGGGCCTTCATCTATAAGGCTCAGGAGGAGATGCAGAAGAATGCAGTACAAGAAGGCCAATGAACGTATTGTAATATGGAGTTTTTCAATAAAAGATTATCATCGACATTTGTCTTATTGGAAGGTGGAAGACGGTTAAAAGTTAGTTGAATTTGGAAAAGCGTTATATGCTGGGTATTTGTTGTACAAGGTCCTTAACTAGTCAAACGTAGGGGAATGTTTACCAACCATTGAGATCAGATATTCCTGTTTTTATTTATAGTTCATATAGATATACCCTGTTTCATGGTAGAATGACAGCTGATAATCTAGTACTATCTCAGAATTCCCCACATCGGCACAGAACACATAATTCTGACGTATCCGTCAACGACAGGTAGTCAAACCGTATTTTGTTTTGTTGTACGCTAAAGATTCATTTTGTACTTGCATACAGCTCTTTATTTAGAAAATTTCATTTGCATACAAAAAACAAAACGCTACAAACGGGGTTTACTAGATTTACACCCGATTCATCATTGCAACGTCCCAGACTAACACAAAATGTCACTTGCTGATCAGCCGTTCACCTCGGTAGACGCCAAAGCGTGATGGATACTCGTCAAATAGGGTATACTTTGAAGTTGAGTCATTAATTTTCAGATAATGATTGTAGAAGGAAGATAAACCAAAATATGTGTGTAAAAATAAAAAAAAAATTACCTTGTTTTATAAAGTATCCTCCCGACAAGTATTTCAGTGCGGACCTGTATTTGATCGTGAGGTCTTGGAGCACGCATGCCGTCACCTGATTCACGAGCCGTTGTACTACATTAACAAGGCACGAGGGGTTGGTTGCACTCGATTGGGAAACCGATCCGCATAAACATGTGCCATTTTTTATTTCGTTTGAGCCACGCAACAGATACCACTATTCACTCACGCGTTACCGACTGACACTGACTGTATAGAAATGAATAAAATAATTGTAAAAACATCGTTCCTAATTCTTTCGCTTTTTTGTTTCCGATGCGATGAACCGATAAGGCGGATTATATCCGTTGTTGCCAAACACAAGCACATAATATTATTGAGACAGGGCGGATACTCAAACTTCCAAAGGGCTATAACTTTGTTACTTTAATTTTACCAGAAAAATGGTAAAGGAAAAAAACATTTCTTTTGATCAGATCTACTCACTGTTAAAATAAATGACTCAACTTCGAAGTCTATTGCTTGTTGTCATAGAAATCTCAATTTGAAGAGGGACATTTGGACAATTACGTCATTTTTTATCATCGTTACTCGCATTATGCAGTGCAAACAGTAAGATCATTGTCTTAAATCGTCACGAAATGCAAGAGGATTTGTCGTTCGTAAAGAATCAAAATTGATGGACTAGAATCCATATCGAGCATTGAGGTGTACGTAAATTTTTTTTTTTTCAAAAAGCATAGTTCGATCTTTATCTGTCATTCTGTTTTGAAACATTCATCGTTTCATTACTCAAGTTTTTATGCACTTCTTCACTCGTCAATGTTCAAAATTCTGATTCTTGTAAAGTTTGCCGTTTGGAAGACCACTGATGCACAGTAACCTTGCAAATATTGCTCGTCACAAAACAGATTCTTATTTATCTAGAGTATCTAAGCTAGTCTTTCCGACAATAATTGGCAATTGTTACACGTTCGACATTTCCGAGATGCGTGCAATTTTGTCAAGAAATTCCTGATTTTGACAGGTGTATTCATCTACACATTGCAGACTATTTCAAATTCACAAGGAATTATTCAGGCGACATTAATATTACAATGGTATAGAACAAGTCAATGGTAATCGAACATACGCAAAGAATATAAACAATACCCATCAACAAACAAACGTGCAAACGGATAATGAAAGTATAAATATTTCGATTAATGTAGGCATATATGTAAGGGGTTGTCCAAAACGAACGCAGGAAAGTAAACGCATATTAAAACAAGAAAGATTTATATTCAAATCAAGTTGGGTACTTTATTTTGAAGGTTCATTTATACCATTTATGTATGAAAAATAATATCGCTCAAATGTTCACCACGACTGGATTTACAGACGTCCACGCGATGGTCGAAATTTTCAATGACATTTTGCAACATGGTCGGTTCTATGGCATTTATCTCGGCAATGATGTTGTTTTTGAGTTCTTGGAGGGTGGCTGGTTTGTTGACGTAGACTTTGCTTTTCAAATATCCCCATAAAAAGAAGTCCAAGGGAGTCAAATCGCACGATCTTGGTGGCCATGGCACATTTCATCTGCGCGAAATCACGCGATCACCGAAGGACTGCAATCGATGGATATTGACGTTGGTTGTGTGGCATGTTGCACCGTCTTGTTGGAAATAAACATCGTCCATATCCATTCCTTCAAGTTGCGGCAAAAAATAGTCCTCTATCATCACGTGATATCGCTCAGAATTGACGGTAACGGCGTCGCCGGCCGCATTTTCGAAAAAGTAAGGTCCGATGATGCCTTTTGACCACAATGCACACCACACAGTCACTTTTTGAGGATGCATCGGCTGTTCTTGATACTCACGGGGATTTTCGTTCGCCCAGATGCGGCAGTTTTGCTTGCTTACCGTCCCTTTCAAAATGCGCTTCGTCGCTGAACATGATTTTTGATGAAAAATTGCCATCAATTTGGCGGTGTTCAAGGAGCCAATCTGAGAACGTTCTGCGCGAAAAATGGTCGGCCCGACGCAGCTCTTGCGTCAATTGGATCTTGTAGGCGTGTACATTCAAATCCTTGTGGAGAATGCGGAGCAAACTGGTTCTCGAAATGCCCAATTCTTGGGATCGACGCGTTGTTGTTTTGGATCGTCTCTCCACTCTCCTTCACAACAGCAATATTTTCCGGTGTGCGAACGCTCCTTGACCGGCCAGAGCCTGGCAGATTTGCCACAGAACCAGTTGCCTCGAATTTACGCACCAGACGACCGATGGTTGTTTCGTTTGGGCGGTTGTTGCGACCGAAATGTTCACGAAGCGCGCGAAACGTGTTTTTTACTTTTGCACCATTTTTGTAGTGCTCTTGAATAACTTTAATGCGGTCTTCAATCGAATACGACTCCATACCGATCAATGGTAAACATTCAACTAACAAAATGACATGTCGGTGACAGAAAACAAATATGGCGTCTATGTCAAATTGACGTTTACTTTCCTGCGTCCCTATTCGACAACCCTTTATAATGCTGGAATTTTGAAAACGAGTAGGTACATTACACACAAAATACATTCAATAAAACAAGATGTTTGTGCCCTGAAGTCTGATAGTATTAGTAACGAGAGATACATCATGAGGATAGTAAAAAATACAAAACATTGCAAAGACATGTAACTGATATACAGTGCAAATCATTTAAGATTGAGGTTGGTCGTGTTACAATGTGTACGAGAGATAAACGTGCAATACGTATTTTTAGAAAGTGCGGATCCACAAGCAATCATCACTGAGCTCTGTTTCTAACTCTTAACATACCCGTTGAACGCATTGACCAACATAATGATGCAAAATGATTATTATACCTGCAGGGTTATTACTTAAAGAACCTACATAGTGTCAACCGACATGCCACTTTCAAGTTGGATCATACCGTTATTCAACGGGAATATGCAAAGCTGCTTGCTAAAGTTGATGCTCTTAAAAATCTTTTCATAAGATCGGGTGGATTCAGTAGTTGGCGCGATTAATAAAATTCCAAAACCAGTGAAAGCAAATAGTATGACTAGGTTCCATTAAGAAATTTTTTTGGGGGTCTTTAGATTCGCCATATTATACAAAAATATTTATATTTCCAATAACAAATTACCGATAATAGAACATACGAATTTTAAATTAGCAAGAGCATGGATGGGAAGATATAGGCTACAAATTACGTTTTTTTATCAGATGAGGATGCAGAGACGGAATACATTTTGATTGGACAGCCAGACAATGATAAACCTCGCAGAAGAATAACGACTAGAATGAAATACATATACCATGGATTTGTTTATTACAACAACAATGTTCATGGCAATCCACCATTACGGTAAATGAAAGCGATAAAAAATGCAGGGTAGTTATTTTACGATTATAAAGTCTACATATACAAATGAGGAATGAAATATATTGTATGCAGCCTCTAACCGGATAATTTACGTCTAACTTATCCTAGAAAAAATTTGCTATGCCTCGGATCGTATCTTTGAGATAATGTTAACTTACATGTTTCGTAAACATGAGAAACAGACCAAGGCTGCGCAACCATCAGTCAAATTCACGATCATTAATGCCACACCGTCATCGGAAATCTATTTTCTGAATGCTTTGATGAGACGTAAAGATGTTTGATACATATGTCATCTGGATAGAAAGATGTTTCATCCACAATTCGGGATCGTTAATAAGATTTTGACGTCGTGGCTGGCCGCCTTAAGGTTGGGCAGTTTTGGTTTATATAGAATCACCTTCCTGGTTTCTTCTACAGGGTATAGCGTAATCATGGGCGCGTGCAGGGCAGTGCCATTGGGGCGTACTCCCCCCCTAATGATCTGTCTGAACCTTTGCTTGCATGTTTAATTCAATTTTTGGGATTCTCGAGTTCCCCGTCGTGACAAAATTTGTTATAGGGGCACGTATACTTTAACAAAAATCTCTTACCGATGATCGCCCTCTATGATAAATTCTCCTGCAGATGCCCAAGGGCATAATGCGTAGATAACCTCTTCTCGTCTACCTTCGGTAACATTAAACATGTTGTGCTTTCACATTGTTTTGCCGAAAACGGCACATTTTGAACATTTTTAAAGATTAAGTCGATCATATCTTGAGGGTTCTCAACTTTGGAAAAAAGTTCATAAACCTCAACCATCGAAACCGGATTCAGAATGCCGCAAAAGACCTAAGAAACTGTCCCGATTTTTAGATGATTAAACAATTCTTAATTTTCGTGAAAAGGCCTCCATTTTGAATATGAAACAAAAATACGATCAGATCCTAAGATTCTTCCTGGACTAAGTCACTGGTTTTATGCTGATTATCGCTTAAAAATGTCTCAAAAAATTTTAATACCAAGGCCTTTTACTAACAAAACTATTCCC